GCTATCTGAGGGCTTGGTTCATTTCAAAGCACTGAGACCTCAAGCACACAGAAGGAAGTCAAAAGATTACAGTATTGTTTCTAGACTCTTTGTTCACAGGAAAGATAGCTGATACCTCATCTAAACTAAATGTTCGTTTACTTTGGCACTGGGCTGGGCTCTATTTCCTTTAAGGAAGTTCCTAATCATTAGGGAGAGCAAGATTGAAAAAATCTGGGACTTACAGTATGCAATGAGAATTGCTGGACTCGAGTTCAGGAGAAAAGTAGTACAACCTAGATCAGTGCTGGCGAATCTATGGCATGCATGCCACAGGGGACATACAGAAGCCCTGTGTGTGAAACAATCTCCCCAGCAGCCAAGCATCAGATGATCAGTTTAACTGCAGTGTTGCCATGTTGCAATCAACAAGTGGGTTTTGGGTTGCAGTTTGGGCACTCAGTCTCTAAAATCTTCGCTGTCACTCAACAGGGTTTAGAGTCATAAAGATGTAGTGGTTGAATATATAAAAAGGAACAGCTACCAAAGAAAACAGGAAGGGAAAACGAACAAAGATGGCAAGGAATGACACAAGGGACTCCCCCAGACTTGGAAAAGAAGAGGATGAAAGGGAGTTAGGGAAGGTATGGAAAGGAAGGACAAGAGAGAGTGGCCTCAGACAGAATCAGAAGGGAAAATGATGCCAACAGAATCATGGTCAATCATGTCAATGTCCCAGAAAGGAGACCAAGGATGAAAGTCATTATATGGAGCCATTAAGAGGTCACTGTGACTCCTGAGATCAAGCACAGTTATCCATGAGGGAAACAAGCCCATCACAGTGAGAATGTCAGTGAGCAGTAAGGAAGTGGATGCCCTGCTACCCTTTTTATCTTCAAAGACATTGGAAGGAAGGGTGGAAGGAAGGAAGAAAGGAGGGAGGGAGGGAGGGCAAAAAAGAAGGAAGGAGGGAGGGAGGGAGGGAGAGAGGAAGGAATAATGAAGGAACTGCACCAGCACAGTATCTCCAAGTTGAGAGAATGTTCTCTATTTTGATTTTCAAGTCTCTAAGTTTGCAGCCTCTAATATTCTGCTGTCTTACTGCCTCTACTGCTTGGCATGTGCTGTTTTTGTAAGTTTTCTCAACTCCCAATCTTTTCTTCTTCCAGCTCCTCCTCAGTGCCACCCCTTAAGATTCAAGGCTGTGAGTCTGGATTGTTTGCTAGTTGAAAATCTTAGTATGTGTACTTCGTTAGACTGATGATGATAGCAAAGTGACAGATTTTTGTACACATATAAATTCCTCAAAAATAGCTGGGGATGGTGGTGTGCACCTGTGACCCAGCACTCAGGAGGTTAAAGCAGGAGGACAACAGCAAGTTTGAGGCCAACCTGGGTAAAACAGTGAGTTTCAGGCCATCCTGAATTACAGAGCAAGACCCTGACTCAAAGAACAAAACAACAAAATAAATCCCTCAAGATGATTTTAATCATATTTATACTTTGGAAAGATAATAAAAACATTCTTTGGGTAGGGTCTCACTTAAGGAGTCCTGTAAATAGATATCACTTTGTCATTTGTATTAAATATGGTTAAGTCACAGCACTCGCTAAATGTAATATAGAGGGAAATTTCTTTTAGTATTAAAGTTAATGATCTGTATAATGAACTTAGGGTTTGGAGAGCCCAGTTATGCTGTTTATATCATACTCTTATAACAATGTTCTTTCTATCTGCCTTTTACTGAAGAGGAAATTGAGGCTTGGAGAAGTGATTTTGCATATTTTGTCACAGCAAATCCATGCAGGAGCCCTCCTTTGCTCTCAAAAGCGTCTGGCTTCAAAGGCTGACTGGGGTTTGCTTTTCTTCTAGGCCCTACCACCCTTCCTACCACATAGCCTTCAGTTCTTTTGGTTACTGGAGCTAAAAATTATTTACATAAGTATGATGTCACAACTTTTAAAAATATTTGTTTTTAGAAGCATCATTTATCTTTAATTTCCTAAAAGACTAATTTTATTTTTCATTTCCATTTGTTGAGATCATTTGTTTCTTATCCTTAAGGAGTTAGTTTTTAAACTGACTTTCTTAGGACTAGTTACATAATTTGTAGGTTCTCTGATTTTAAAAAAATTATTAAAAGCCACACCTATAAAATTAACACCCAAGAGGCTGAGGCAGGAGGATCTCGAGTTTGAGGCCAGCTTGGACTTCATAGCAGGACTCTCTCTCTCTCTCTCAAAAGTCTACAGAAAAGGTTATTAAACAATTTCAGATCATGAAAACAGGACACTAAAACAAGCCCAAGGCTGTGCAGGTCACATTCCCATATAGTTGGCCTTTGAAATGCTGTTGAAACATGCATCTCATACATATGCAATCACACATAGTTATTTATTTTTCATATTCACAGATCCTGATATCCTATCTAAAGAATAAATTCCAGAACAGCAAGGATCATGTCTTTATGCCTGTGCAATGCATTTGTCTGGTTGTCTTGCATAAGTGCAGTGCTTAATATTTTCCAGGGGATGGGAGTGATGTAATGGTTGAGATGCAGTATCTGAAGTCAGACAGCACTGAACTCCACCTTAATTCTGCCACGTCGTAGCCCTGGGACCCTGAGAAAGGATCTGACCGCTGTAATTTCCTCATCTGTCAAGAGAAGATATAATATTTCATTATGAGTATACAATGAGGTAACATGTATAATGCCTAACACAAGTAGGAAACACGATAAATGATAGCGAAAAGTAGCAGTAGTAACAGCATTTATGCACTATTGATTCTTACTAACTCCGAATCACCAAAACAGTTACTCAGAAAACTAAAAGAGAAACAAAAACAAACACAAAACAACAACAAAGCGAAAAATAACTAAAAAAGCTAAAGAAAAGTCCAAATAGCTTGTACTCTGAGTAACTAATTTAAAGATATTAACATGCAATGTGTTAACCACTGTTACTCTCCTATTATCTTGTTTTGAAATTTTGTTTTACTTTTTTTCTCTTTACAATAAAATTTTAAAAAAGAAAATCCATGCCAAAAAAGAAAATCTAGTTGGGCATGGTGGTGCACACATGTCATCCCAGCACTCGGGAGGCTGAGGCAGAAAGATTGATGCAAATTCAAGGCTAGACTGCACTACGAAAGAAGACCTCATCTCACAAACAAAAAACATATATGTACAGTCATTCTCCTACATGAATCCATATCTGGTTAAAACTCCTCTAAAGCGTCCAGTTTCCTAATACTCCATGAATTTTCTCATTCTTTCTCAGATGTCTGGTTTTTCACCTCTCTCACACACATATAGTCTACCCAGCAACACAGATGCTATTGTTGTCAGATGCTATATTAACCATCTGGTAGTCTCTGGTCCGTTCCTAGAGATGGTCAACAGTATCTCCCATGCAGAAGACAAGAGTTCCTAGTATCCTTAGGACCCTCCCAATTTCTTCCATTCTCTTATTTGTACATCAGGGGGAAACTCTTATTGACCTGCTTAAACTTGCTTATACTTCAAGCTGTCAGGGTAACCGAAAGAGTTTCACCGACTATGTCATGGAGTTTCTCAAGAATAACTAATTCCCTCTCGTGAACTCCAACTCTTTGCCACCGATTGCTGTCATCAATAGTGGATCATGCTGACGATAACTGCCACTGGTCAGGTTGGCTATGTGTGCACTCCCTGGAGAGAAAGATAGGGAAGGTTGAGGGCCTCCCACCTGGATGTTTCATACTGGGCTTTGTTTAACTGTCTAGTCCAATCTTTGTGCCTAAAGCCATCCATAAGACTCATGTTCAGGTTTCTAACGACTCCTTTTTACTCTCTCAATCCAGTTCTTCTCACATGGGCTAAGATTTTTATATATTCAGCTGGTGTCCTATGGGGCACTAATGGTCCACAGAGTCAGCATTCAGCCATAAGGTTGAATAAGGACTGTCTTTATCCTGTTGCCGAAGGAGAGAGAATGAGAGAGTTGGTGAGAGTTCGGGAGAAAAACGGGGACAGGTAGTAGCTAGAATTTTCTCCATTCAAATTGTTCTCTCTTTTGCCTTTTTCTTTTTTGTCTTTTTGAGACAGGGTCTTACTATGCAGTTCAGGCTGGTCCTAAATTCACCTTGTAGCCCAAACTGGCCTTGAACTTGCAATAATCCTCCTGCCTCAGCCTCCTGAGTGCTGAAATTACAGACATGTGCCACTACACCCAGAATTCTCTAATAATTTTTTACAAGTTGTTTGCTTCGAATTTCTGCTAGAGATTGCCTGCACTTGACAGCAGAAAATGAAACTACAAATTTCTATCCATAGAAAAATTCAAAATCAACCATTTTGTCTCAGTTCAACAGTTTATTGGGTGTTTAATTTTTTTAAGATGTGCAGGCTAGCAGTTATGAGTGCATATGATATACAAATAACATAATGCAGATTTCTTTTTTGCTAGTAAAAATATATAGAAATAGTATATAGGCAAAATATAAATACATAGATTGATATTTTTAACATCCTATGAAGAACACAGTGTTCTGCAAATAAGACCAAGTGTTCTGGATCTATGTACCCTGAACCAGTCTGGGGCCCCCGGACTTAGAAAACGGCGTGTTACATTCCTCTAAAAGCCCATGAATAGAAAGTATTTATGAATAAAAGATGTTCCTAAACTGCACGAACTCTAAGTGTCAAGGAACTATGCAATTATTTAAAACCATTGCTGAGATCAGTAGGAATGCCTGAGGATTCAAATCAACGTTTCACTAGTAGCATCTCAAATGAAGAGCTAAGATCTTTATGCTGCTTTGCACCAGAATTTTGTGAGGAGAAATCCCTGACAACTATCTGAAACTTGAATGTCATAACAGCTGGTCTTTGAGCCTCTCTTTGAACACCTTCACGAGGCCCTTCATTTGACCCTGAGTTTGGGATAAAATAACACCAGTGTTTGACGCTGAGTTATTTCCATGTACATCCGTGTGATGGAAATGAACTGACCAGTGTTTTTAAACTCACATATTCTTCATAATGGGAATTTATACTATCTGTGTGGAGGTACAGATATGAAATGACATTCCTAAAACTATATTCTAAACTCTTTGAATCTTAGATAATGGAACATGTCATAATGCTTTATATTGTAATTCTTAACTGCAAATTACTCAACTGCACATTACCCATGGCTGGAGAGGAAAGGAAAATTCCCTTCCTGTATACAGCCTTCATTCACGCAAGGCACTTTATTTATATTCCCAATTTAATAAAAATCCCCTGCTGTGCAAATGTTCTCCATATGTGGAGACAGAGGGCTAGAATGTACAAAGCCAGCTCTTTGTGTTGTTTCAAAATTGTATATATGTACTATTTTGCCTGTTTTTAAAACAGCAGAATACAGAGTTTCGCCGCTTTTAGCTTTTTTTTTTTTAATCAAGGTAAAAAGCTGATGTCAAGAAACTCAGTTGTCACCTTCCTATTTTAACCTTTATCTACTCTTATGGGTCTGCAGTACCCCATGTAAAATTCTAATATTCTTCCAAGAGGAGAACTGGCACAGGGCCAAGAAGCTGGGGGAAAGAACAACCTGAAGCCAGAAAAGAAAAAAAGACCAGGACAAAGCTGGTTCCGGCATGGATGACTTTTTAGGCAATAACCACACAAGGAGTCAGGGGTCTATTAGACAAGAATTAAAGGAGAAGAAGCAACTATGCTGGAGGTGCTTCATCAAAAATAAATGAGACTGAATCCCGGCTCCACCACTCACCAGCCAGACACAGTGGAAGAGACCCTTCATCTCTGCGTTTTCATTTGCTCCCTTGGAAAGTGGAGAATTTCCTGTCTTCTGAGCTGTCAGAAGGGAACCTGTGTAATGATCTTTGCACAGCAGAAGCAGTGGGTGCGCTTTTCGCTTTCAGCTCGCTCTTGGCCCCGTTCCTTCCTGAACCAGCTCAGCCACATTGATGAGGTCTGTGTATCCCGAAACGGTCCTCCCTTTTTTAACCTTTTCATTGTAGAGAATCTCAAACATTTACAGTAAAAGCTAGTGTGATGCATGATATATTTCTGTGTGCTGTTACAGTATCAACAATTACAAGTCAGGGCCATCTTTCTCAACTATATCCCAGTTTGCTCTCTGTCTTTGTATTAACTTGAAGCCACTTTACCTACAAAGTTTTATTTAGGGTAAATCGCTAAAAGATAAATGCTTTTTAAAAAAATACAACCACAATATATTGCACTGTGAATATATATCGTGTCTTAATAGCTTTAAATATCTAATGTGCTTAAATGTCTAATACCTTATACCGTTTTATAGTTTGAGTTAGAATATGTTTTGCCACAAATTACAAAGGTTGTGTTGTTTTAGGGGTAGGTTTTCTGTTTCTTTTTCTTTTTTTGAGACAAGGTCTTGCTATATAGTTCAGGCTGTCCTTGAATTCACTGCGTAACCCAGGCTAGCCTCAAACCTGTGGGGATCCTCCTGCCTCAGTTTCCTGAGTACTGGGATTACAGGTGTGCGCCACTACTCCTGGCCAAAATTTGTGTCTGAAATCTCTTAGTCTGTTAACTAACATGCTCTTCTGTCTCTGTATCATATGCAAATGAAAGGATTCCTCAGATTCAGGTTGATTTTGTTGCTTTTGTTGATGCTGTTGTTACTGTTATTATCTATGTCCAGTAAATTAGATCCACAACATAAATACTGCCACATGGGTGTCACTGATGCCATTTTCCAAACTGGTAAGCAACTCTTAGAAAAGAATCCGAGCAAACCAATGTGCAACCTATCCTCCATTTAAATAACAAATACTTATTTCCTGGAAAATCTGGTATATATTAAAGCATATAAAATAGTCTGTATTTATATGTAATATGGAGCTAGACTTTAGACTCATGTGATTATAATCTATTTTCCACCTGTGTGCAAGTCTGGCAAGTCAGGTAGCATGTAGGAAAACTCTGCCAAGTAGTATCACCTGCCAGATGGCAGAAAGTCTAGCATTTCTGTCTCCTGCCCACTAAATGCCACAAGCACCCCACCCCAATGTTTATGACTAATGTCAAAGCCCTCTGCTATTTACAAAATTCTCCCTGTGATTCACTTTGTCTTCCGTTGACAACTGCTGGATTAGTCTGAGGAGCAGAAAAGAAGAAATGGGTTTTTGCTGCATAGATGCAGTAATTTGAGGAACAGAAAATACCCTGTATGAGGAAGGAACATTGAAACATCCATGACTTTAAACTATCGTAAGTTTTTCTCAGTTGACCAAATTTTTCCTCCAAATTATGTAGGAAAATATGAATAGGGTGTCTGATAAGCAAGTGAGGACAATAGAATTATGCTATGTGTAGAGTTTTGTTTTGTTTTATTTTTGTCTTTTTGTTTTGTTTTGTTTTTGTAGGATTTTTCTATGGAGTTCAGGCTGGACTTGAATTCACTTTGTAGCCCAGGCTGGCCTCAAACTCACAGTGATCCTCCTGTCTCAGCCTCCCAAGTGCTGCAATTAAAGGCGTGCACCACCCTGTCTGGCCTAGTATGTGTAGCTTAAACAGAGATTTCTTTTTGACAGCTAAGAAACTATACACACTGCTAAGGTGGGAACACTGGGATAGTGGCAAGAAATGATAAACCATTTTTAATTCTTTTCCAAAACTAGGTATAATTCTTAGGTCTTGATGATAATTTTATATAATGGGGTCATAGTGCTGATAAGTAATTGTGCTTGATCTCCAAGATAGAGAAAATATAGTTAAATTTTACTTATAGTTTAACTGTCTTATTGTATAATATACTTCTTGACTTTTTCTTTCAACTTATTAAAATTGCAATAGTATCCTTTGTACTTAAATATTTTTCATCATTCTGAGACAAAAGCCATTTTCAAATCTAAAGTGGATGATATATTTTTATTATTCTTTAAACCAAGAATTATCCATTCATGGATCCTAGCTTGCTCCTGGTGCCTAGTAGGTGCTCACGAGATGTTTGTTAAATGAATTCACTCATCCAGTAATCACCATAATTAATACATCTTATTACTCTGTAGAATCATATATTTTCATATATTATTTTTATTCTATACCCTCATAATCATGAAATATTGTGTGGGACTTTTACACAGGGTAGAAATTAAAAGGTGATTTCTTCTAAACCATGCTCTGGTATAACTAGAAGAGTTTAGGTTTTCTGGCTTAAATTTTACTAATTCAACTAACAGTCTTTTTTTTGCCTTAATTTTATATTTTTTATGTCTGCTGCCTACCTGGCCTGATGACTTCAAAGCATTTGTCCAAAGGAAGAAAGGAAAAAGCGGAAAGGAGAGAACTGGAGAAAAAGGTCTAGAAAGAGGGAAGAGATGTAATAAATTTCCTCAGTATTTATATACTGGTCTTGAACCTCAAAAATTCAACACAGAACTTTTTAAGACTTCAGTGTCAAAGTCTGTCTAGTAGGAGATACGGTTCTGCTAACCGTGAGTGGCCTTACTTAATGTCTGCGACTGCAAAGCAGATGCAGCATCAACATAGTCATTGTTCAAAGACTGGGACCTTGTAACCACGGAGACATTACCTCATAGTGTTCTATGAGGTGGTGTGGGCCAGATGTGAAAGTAATTGTCACAAAGGTCACTTTGCTGGTTACTGAAAGCTCCCCCCCATGCTTCCAGAGATTGCTACACACCTTCACTGCACTTTCTCTCATGTCCTCGGCCAACATAAGCACTGGCTGTGTCAGTAGTTATGTATCCACAGGAGAATTCTGTTTCTCACATTACTGCGGTAAAGAAAATATTCAATCGGTAAATTGAAGATAGTTGGGCTATTAGGTGAGGGCACCTTAAAAACAAATTCTGCCTTGAAATCCGGTGCCATTCACTGATTACTGTCATGATCTGTTTTCCTAGGAAGGAAAAGAGACTTCTGGTTTAGGCAAGATGAAAGACACAGAAGAGATCCAGGAAGCTTCAGAGTCCCTGCAGGGTGAAGCTCTCAAGCAGGAAAATAAAATGGAGACACAAGAGCAGTAAGAACCGCAGAAACGGGGAGGGCAGGGTCTGGAGTCCTACAGGGAGAATGATGGGGCAGCGACCTCATTTTTTAAAATAATGAATAATTAGAACTAGAACGGATCCCACACATTTTCTAAAAGTAATGAATTATTAATACCTCTATTTCCTCAGCCACTGTCCCGTCACTGAATAATAGGAAAACTCACCCAGACAGATCTTCATCTTGTAAGACCTGGTTGAGATTCCAGAGTTCTCATTCAATTGGCAAAGGCCATTGGCCTGTAACTTCTTTAGAACTACTTCACTCTCATGGGGACAAAAAGATTGTTAGAATTTTGGTTTGGAAATGTCGATAAAGGAGGTTGTATAAAACAGCAGCACTGTATTTACTACAAATATATATCATTCTCTCAACCAAAGTATTGGCATTTGTTTTCCAATGTTTTCTAAAACATGGATTTTGCTATTGAGTATACATGATTTAAAACTATTTATTTCTTTGGTCCTAGATTTCCTGTAGTTATTATTCAGTCTACATGTTCTTTCTGTTTATTTGTTTGTTTGTATTATTTATTTGTTGTAGTACTAGGGATAGAAGTAAGTGCTCTAACACTTAACTACTATACTCCCAATCATTTTCAATTTTATACGATATAGGATTTACTAAAGTTGTCCATGTTGGCCTCAAACTTAGGATTTTCCTGCCTCGGCCTCCTGAGTAGCTGAGATTACAGACATATACTGACTGTACCACAACACCCAGCTCTAAAACTGTTTTTTAATATTTGATTTTAGAAGTAAGAAATTTTTATTTTTATCATAATATCAAACAGTAACCTTGAAATGCTGGGATTGAACTTTTGTCATTGCTCCTAGTTTAGTGCCTATTACAGAGAGAGCAAAATATCAAGAAGGGACTTGGACAATTCCTTGCCCTAAAGGAAAAGTTAACATAGCACTGAGAAAAATCCCCTTCCAAAGAGCATCTGATAGTTTGGGAAGTGTGAGATTCAGACAGTGGGCTGTATCACTTGTGCCTATTTCTGAAATGTTTGTACTTGTCAAGATGTGTTCAGACATCACAATGCTCTTATTCAACCACCAAAATAAAAACACGCCGTGTCCCTGGGCCACATTTCTCTGATTGTAACATTTATGAGGCTTATTTGGGAATCTTTTGCAAAATTAAATTTATTTGGCCCACTTAACCCAGCTAGTCCCCTTCTGAATATTTTTCCAGAAAAACTGAAAACTTCATACCCCAGCAGTATATATGCACCCATGTTTATAGCAGCACAATTTGTCATAGCTAAATTTTGGAAACGACCCAAATGCCCATCAACAGAACAATGGATGAAAAGGATGTGGTATTTTTATACAATAGAGTATTACTCAGTTATAAAAAAAGATAAACTTGAGGCTTTTATAAGTAAATGGATGCAACTAGAGACCATACTCCTATGTGAAATAAATCAGACCTGCATGTGTAAACATCATATTGTCTCCCTAGTGTAAGAACCTGAAAGAGTAAATAAAACCTAAAAAGTACAATAGATATTGTGAAAGGGATAGAAAGTGCTCAAAGAGAAGGAACAACTGGTATGAGGGAAAGGGGAAAAGAAAAAGGAAGGAAGGAAGGGAGGAGGGAAGGAAGGAAGGGAAAAATATATACTTATATACAAGGATAGTTGGGATAATTGTACTGTTGATGTCTGGTGGTTTATTGAAAGAAACAGTTAATGCTTAAATGTTTTTGACCAATTTTGCACTCTTATATCTGGTAATCTGAACAACTAATTTGAAGACAACAATATGCAATATAACAACCATTGTTGAATTCCTACCATCTTGTTTAATGAAGCTCTGTATCATTTCTAATTTTCTATTACTTTTTATTCTCTTTAATGGTTTGATCAATCTTGCATTCATACATCTGGTAATCTGAGCAATTGAAGATAACAAACAATATGTAGTAGAACAACCACTGTTAAGTCTTATCATACTGTTCTGAAATCCTGTATCATTTTTATCGTCTTTGTGTTGCTTTATTTTTGTCTTCGTTGTTGTTATTTTGTTATTGTTTTCTTTCTCTTTAAAATAAAAAAAATTGGAAATGCTGTTGTTTTACTGAAGAAAAAAAAAATGAGTTTCCAATAAAAGCACACTGAAAAGATGAAACCCAGATGTAAGGGAAGAGAGCTTGAAAGAGAAAAGCACTTTCTCTGCATGTTGCAGACAATGAGAGGGGGAATCATATCATACCACCTGTCTCAGGCTGGACAGAAGTGAAATGCCCGTAACCCGCAATCTGCCTCTCTAGCCTCTTTCCCACTGTCTTCAGAGCATACTCAAGAGTGTGTCTCCAAGGGCTAGAGCTTTTCTGACAAATCTGAGCACTGGCAGTTATCAGCAGAATGGCAAGTGCCCCAGTGAAGCGCTCAGCTGGTAAAAATGCAGTTTTCAAAGCTATTGCCATTTAATTTTATTCAAAATCTGCTTAAAATGGCTACGCCTTCTGAGAGATATACTTAGAGGAGTCTCATTTTGAATAGAAATCTGTCCAGTTGTAAGATTTCTAATGTAAGTACTTCCACATTGAGGACCAAAATGATTGCACATACTTCTTGGTAAACACACCGAGCATGACATAAGCAACATGGCAGATGAGGAAGCTGCAGACCCTCATCCTCCATGGAAACTTTAAACAAAAACAAAACTACAGGCTGACACAAGTAACTGGTAAGTGCCATGGAAAACAGGTCAAAACAGAGGTGATCTGTGGCAAAATATTTAACTTCTGACTTAAGTGGATAGATACGTAGCCCGGTAGAAAACAGGACAATTTAACCCACCATTTGTTCAGTTTTTCAGAGTGATGAGGGGTTTCAGACATCTGGACACTGTTCACAATTTACACATTAAATACACACACACAAACACACACATATTCACACACACATGAACTGTTTTGAGGAACTGGGAAGAGTATCAATGTTGCATACAATGGAGTCCTCATGAACATTTTCATGAGCCATCTCATGAGAATATTGTTCAACTTGTAACATAATTGTACTGCATAATATCTTGTTCAAATGATTGTATGAGAGTTAACAAGTGCTCTTGTATTTATAAAAGAAAGGGAAAATCTTGGTTCTTAGTGTAATTCGTTTGTTATAATGGCATCTGAAAAGTGTTATTCTCTCTTTTCTGCCATTCTGTCCAATACACACACACACACACACACTTAAACACATATACATACAGTATATTTGAAAGAAGATTTTAACTATAGAGTATTTTTCATATAGAAAAATTGATTAAGCAGCAACAGGATAAAGAAAAAAGGTATAATGAACTATTGTATGTTAAACAGGAACTGTGATCTTTTTACGTTAATGGGAAGAGGAATATAAGAGATAAATTGAAGTATAAATGCTTTATAGTCTCAGCTTTGACTAAAAAATGTATTTAAAAACCAAGAAGGACGTGGTAAAATCTCTGGTTGGTGGCATTATGTGATTGTTATTTTCTTTTTATTTTTACATTTTTAAACATCATCTATAATAGTTATTTATTGATTTTTATATAAAAATTAAAAGTACTAAAGTGATGCTAAAGTGCTATATTCAGATGGTTAAATCTGGAGATATCAGATGTTATTGTATTGAAGTTAGGGGTGTTATGCTCTTGATACGCAGAACTCAGAGCAACAGTGACAGCCTGTGCTTCTTTAAAATTTTTTTATTTTAAAGAGAATAAAAGAAAAGCAATATAAATGATACAGAATTTCAAGACAAGATGATGAGAAATTAACAATGGTTATTATATTGCATATTGTTACCTTCAAAGTAGTTGTTCATATTACCAGATGTAGGCACACAAAATTGATTAAACAATATAAGCACTAACTGCTCCTTTCAATGAACTAATAGAAATTAGTAGTGCAATTATCTTAGCTATGTTGTGTGCGTGAATATAGATATATACATGTATATCTGTATATATATGTATATATATGTGTGTGATGTATATCTGTATATATACATGTATATCTGTATATATATGTGTCTGAATATATATACATGTATATCTGTATATATCTGTATATATATGTGTGTATATGTGTGTATATATATCTGTATATATATAGGCAGATATATATGTATAGACATATCTATATATGTATAGACATATATCTATATATAGATATACATATCTATATATGTATAGACATATATCTATATATGTATAGACATATATATCTGTCTATACATATACAGATATATATGTAGTTTTTCCCTTTCTTCTTTTCTCCTTTTCCGATCCCAGCTGTTCTTTCCTTCTGAGTACTTTCTTTCCTTTTCACACACACTACTGTACCTTTTGGATCTTATTTACTCTTTCAGCTTCTTATACAAAGGAGAGAATGCCATGTTTACACGTGTGGAACTGGTTGAACTCACTTATAAGAATGGTCTCTAGTTGTATCCATTTTCCTATAAAAGCCTTGAGCTTATCTTTCTTTATATCTAATACTCCATTGTATAAAAACACCACATCCTTTTATCCATTGCTCAGTTTATAGGCATTTGGGTTGTTTCCAAGATTTAGCTATTACAAACTGTGCTTCTACAAACATGGGTGCACATAGATCACTGTGGTATGTTGTTTCCAATTTTTCTGGAGAAATACCCAGAAGGGGAAAACCTGGATCAAATGGGACCTTTAATGCTAGTTTTATGAGGAATATCCACACTGATTTCTACAATGGTTGTACCAGTCTACACCCCCACCAACAGTGCAGAAATGTTCCTTTACCCTATAGTGCCATCAGCATTTGTTATTGGGTGATTCTTTTGTGATAGCCATACTTTCTGGGGTCAGATGGAATCTCAGTGTTGTTTTAACTTGCTTTTCTCAAATGGCTAATGATGTTGAATATTTTTTTATACATGTATTTGCCATTTGTATTTCTTCATCTGAGAAGTATATATTTATCTCAGATGCCCATTTT